TTCCTTCCCCTCTGTAAAAAAAAAAAAAAAAAAAAAAAAAAAATCAATAAAATATATATATTTTTTTAAAATTAACAAACACACACACACATAACGTAAACTCATAAGGTACTGACAGCACATAGAAAATACCAGGCATGCCGAAACCGGTTTGGCTCAGTGGATAGAGCATCAGCCTGATGACTGAAAGGTCCCAGGTTCAATTCCGGTCAAGGGCATGTACCTTGGTTGTGGGCACATCCCCAATAGGGGGTGTGCAGGAGGCAGCTGATTGATGTTTCTCTCTCATCAATGTTTCTGGCTCTCTATCCCTCTCCCTTCCTCTCTGTAAAAAAAATCAATAAAATATATTTTAAAAAGAAAAAGAAAATACCAGGCATTCACCTCACCTATTCACTTTCTTCCTGCGACCCAGACAAGCTGCTGCAGAAACCACACACACACACACACACACACACACATACACACACGATGGGTAGGCTGAGTATAGTGTTACATATTATACCTATGGAATTTTAATGTGCAATATGGTTCCACCACCACCACCACCCCCACCACCGCCATAACTAGAACCCTCTCCGAGATACAGAGTAAATGCTAGTTTAAAAAGGAGCTACTCGACGCATGTAACTTGTTGCCCCAGAAAGCTTCAAGAACCATGAGAAGCAAAGGTGTATTGAAATAAGAGGCACCAACTTCACTCCAAGAAGTAGCAGCAGAATAAAAATGTAGCAGAGAATTCAACCTTTAAAAGAGACCCAAGAACCATGAGGATGTTTTCTGTGCTGTGCACCAGAGGACCATGAACTCAGCAGCTTAGAACAGCGCTCACTTATCATCTCCTAGTTCCCATCAGTTAGGAGTTCAGACATGGCTTAGAAGGGTCCTCTGCTCAGGGTCCCACATGGCTATAATCCAGGTCTCAAGGTGTCAGCTGGGGCTGGGGCCTCCTACTCTCGGTCTCGCCATCTGATAATGGGGGGAGGGGAGAGGTGTTAGTTACTAGCCCAGGTTTCTACTATTAGTACTTCCTGGGTGTCTTGCTGTGAGTTACGTGGTAAATCAGATATTGCCACACCCCCACTTAACTCTATAATTTCTCTGTCCAATACGGCAGCTATTGAGCATTTGCAATGTGGCTGATCTCAACTGAGGTGGCCTGAAATATTATAAGACACACTTAACTTCAAAGGTGTAGCATGGAAGAAAGAACGTAAAACATCTCAATAACATTTTATATCAATGTTTTGGGTTAAATAAAATATAAATAATTCACCTGTTTCTTTTCACTTTTTAAAATGTAGGCTACTAGCCCTGACCGGTTTGGCTCAGTGGATAGAGTGTTGGCCTGCGGACTGAAGGGTCCCAGGTTCGATTCCAGGCAAGGGCATGTACCTTGTTTGTGGGCACATCCTCAGTGGGAGGTGTGCAGGGGGCAGCTGATCGATGTTTCTAACTCTCTATCCCTCTCCCTTCCTCTCTGTAAAAAATCAATAAAATATACTTGAATAAATATTGTAAATAAATAAATAAATAAATAAATAAATAAAATGTGGCTACTAGACATTGTAAAATGGCATATATGGTGCACATTATATCTCAGTTGGAAAGCAATGAGCTATAGCTTCTTCCTGTTCTCAGATAAAAATGTAAATCCCCTTACTGTGACCTAAAGGCCCGACAGCACCTAACCCTGTCCACCTGTCTCAGGTCCTCTCGTACATTCTCCCTGACCCTCATTGCCCTCAGGCAGGCTGACCTTATGATCCCTCTGACGTAGTAAGCGCATGTCCACCTAGAGTCTTTGTACTCATGACTCCAACCTTCTGGAATTTTCTTTCCATGGGGCTCTACTCATAGCTGACTCATTCTCCTTCTTCAGGTCTCTGCTCACATGTCACCTCCTCCATCAGGCCTTCCTGGACCACCTGCTTTGAAGGAGTCACACATCCAGTAAACTCTTCCTCCACTTGTGCTTCCCAAGGCACTTGTTGCCATCCTTACTCAGTTACCTTATTTAATTATCTGCTCACCTGCTGAATGCCTGTCTCCTCCCACTGGAATAGAAGCTGTGTGAGGCAGAACCTTTCCTATCTTATTCACTGTCTTTTGTATCCACAGCCCATTGTAGTTCTCAGGTCACCCTTTGCTGAATGCATGCAGAAATAAATGAATGAATGGTGAAAAGAGCTTAGGTCAGAAGTCCTAGTTAGGACAAACCCAGTTCTAATGATGAGGACAACGCCCCCATCTTACCAGGCGCCCACTCTTTTCCCCTATAAGCAATCCTCGATGGCCACTTTAGGAGGCAGTGGGTGTAACTGAAAGGGCACGGTCTGGAGGTAGAAGCGCTGAGTTTGGATTTCAGTTCTGCTGCTTACTGTCTGTGTGACCCTGGACACCAGAGCCCTTGACTGTCCCCAATCTCCATTTCCCCCCAGAGTGGTTGACTTGATGTTCAAATAAAGAGAGCATCTTATAAATATACCAGACAGCCCGAGGGATATTTGTAAGACCAAGATGTTATTGAAAGGGAGAGATCCTTTCATTTACCTGGATGTCCCCAGTACCCAGCAATGGGTTTGGCTAAGGCACGTGCCCCCAAACTGCTGGATGGATGAATGAAGCTTCTAATGAGTGAAACCTCCAATAAGCCCCAGCATCACAAAGCCACGAACCTTGGGGAAGTCAGATCTCTCTGCTGTTCCAGCTTGGAACAGGGACCTCATTTGTTCTCCCAGGGAAGCACATGGACCTCAGAGTTGGAGTGAGGCTGAGGGTACTGGCCAGATTGCCTCCATTTTCCAGAACAGGAGTCTGTCCAGGTGTCCACAAAAGCTCTGTTGGTCTCCTGGGACATTTGGCTCCCAGTGTCCCAGTCAGCATCCTCATCCGGGAGGGGAGGAGGAAGAGAGCAAGCCCCGGCAGGCAGCAGGATCACCTGTCAGCCACCACACGTTCTCTTCCAGAAAGGAGAGTTCAGGCCACTCCAAGCAGTAGCCCAGGATTCTCACACTCGGAGAATCAGCCACAATACCTGCTTCCTTAATTGAAACTGAGGCCAAGAGTAAAAATTAGGAGAGGGGGAGGGAGTGTTGTGTTTGGAGCTAACAGTGTTAAAGTTAACACCTTTAGAATTATTCCATGGAACAATGATTTCTCAAGCTGGGGCAAGAAGGTGCTGGGGAGGGGAGTGGGAAATCTGTGGCTGGGAGGTGTCTGCCAGCTTGCCCGGGACAAGGCTCGCCTTTGTTCTTCCCCTGGCTACTGAGACAGAGAGCCTTTGGGCAGGACAGCTCAGGCAGCACTGCTGTTCCTAGCATTTGCTACCGAAAGGCCCTGTTCTGCAGAAACCTCTCTCAGCCAGGCTTCTGTTGGGGATGGGTTACTTTATGTACACGCTGGTTTAACATGCAGCCCACTGTGGAAGTTTGGGCAAGCCATGCCAGGGGTAGCATCGCACCCTCTCTCCCTAGTCCACCTTGCCTGCTGATTTCAGATTAAAAACCAGATTCCAGCCTCCATTCATTCAACACCTGTTCTGAACACCTATCACCTGCTGTGGTTGGGGCTATAGCCGGGAAGCAAGCAAGACAGAAATCCATGAAAGAAGAAAAAGGCCACCCCGGGTCTTGCAAAAAGGGAGTCACCAACATAAAGCCCTTTCCGGGAGCGCGGGGTCACCGTTTGGGATCACTCGTCAAGGCTGTGGTTGCTGGAGCTGATGATGTGTTAAGAACCCAAAGGCTTTAAGGAGGAAACTGCCTCCAAGGAGAAGAAGGTCCTAGGGTGTGGCTTGCACTGCAGCTCCCCGTGCACCCCCAAATCGATCCCACGTGGTGTGCTTTGAAATCACACCACCCTTCAGCCCCTCCACAGCAGGGTTTTATTTTAGCCACTGGAGCCTGGTTTCTAGCACTGCCAACACGAGTGACAGGATGGAACCCACAGAAAGAGCGGTTTCCTCCCCCGAGTGAGATGGGGCTTGTGTGTAGTCCTCTGTCCGGGCAGGGACAATGCATGTGGGAGCCCAGGTCCCTGGAACCGGCTTGATAGAGGCCTGTGGACTTACAGGCAGACAACAGGGCATAGAGTGGAGCCTGGCCAGCGCTGTCTTACAGGCGTCGTTGTTGGATGCTGCAGCACAAATGTCCTGAATTATGGTCTGTAATCCTGTGCCCCTTCTCCCCACTTGGGTTCTCCCTCTCCATCCCGGGCGAAAGCCTTGCTGGGGAGTTCCATTTCAGACCAGGTACCCTCTCAGCTCATACGTCTCCATCTGTCAAATGGGAGTGATCGTCTTCATAGTAATGAGAAGACCGCAGGACACAGTAAGAAAACGCGCCCATGGGAGAGAAGATGTACATCTGGGCATTCATAAAATCAGGACGGCCTTCTCTTCCTGCGGAAGCAGGAGGATTTACAAGTTAGGAGAGGCAGATTCATATTTTGCAAACATCACGTTAAAACACGCACGACTCGCTGGTAGGCTCGCCCTTCTCTGGGGATTGGAGAGTGTGCCCAGGTTTGAGGAAAGGGAGCCCGCCAAGGCAGTGCCGCTGCAAGCCACCTGCCCTCCCTCCCCTGGGCTGTCCCCCTCCGAGGACGACCAGGCAGAAGAGGTGGGAGGGGAACATAGCTCAGCGTTTATTTTTGGACCCAACTCACTAAAAATATCTCCGCCTTCCTGTTTGATCACTCTCCCTTTTGACCTGAATGAATCGCGTCCGGTGGGGCCCGCCCCTCCCTCTGCTCGGTGTCCTTTAAAGGAGAAGGGCGTGGGGACGGGTTCCTGCCGCCGCTCCAGGGATGGACCCGCTGGCAGGGGCCGCTGCACTGACATCAGGGCAGCCCTAGCTCTGCTGCAGCCTCCAGCCCAGCCCGGCCGCCCAGAGGGAGGGGGAAGCCGCGCGCTGCGATTGGCTGGCCCCGTGCGAGCGCCCGCGCGGATTGGCTGGCGAGGTTTTAGAGGGAGTCCCGCTCTCCAATTAAAGGGCCCGCCGCGCCCCACTGCGCGCAGAGCTCCGCCTGGACCCGCGAACTTGGCCATTCAGCCAACGCGGTGCCGGCTGAGCGCCCTCGCGCCTCCGCCTGAGAAGCCAGGCGCTGCTGCTTCCCCAGCCCGGAGAGGATGGCGAAGGTGGCCAAGGACCTCAACCCGGGAGTCCACAAGGTGAGCTGCGACGTGTCTTTGCTTACCCAGACACTTTCTCCTCCCATTTCCCTCTCGCAGGCGTTCCTGGAGACTTAGCTGGAAGCAAGAAGGAAACCTATTAAATCCCAAGACTTCACAGAAAACAAAATAGCTGGGAATACTTGTTTAAACTAATAGGTACCCCTTCAGGAATAAAAACAATCAGCAACAACCAAAAGCCCTGGTGTAAAGTGTTTGCAAGGAATCTTAGTTCTTTGGTGATGCTAATTAAAATATAAAGAAGGTGAGAACCTTTTTTTACATGGTAATCCCATGGTCTGTAAGGGAGGGGGAACCCTACCTTCCCCTTTCCTTTCCCCCTCTAGCGATTGGGGTAAAGGTTGGGGGGCGAGGGACTGGCTTGGACTGTTTACTCACAAGGAATTCCCCCTTTCGCTGCCACTCTGGTGCTCTCTCTGTGTTTAGCACGCACGGTTTTTCAGTGGGTGATGTTGGCAGTGGCAGCGGCTCCAGCACACGGGAACTGATTTGTCCCCACGGTCTGCACGTTTCTCTTTCAAGAAGGGCTGGCCCGGAGCCCAGGAGGTCATGGGTGAATTACTACAGGAGGGGCCAGCGGCTGGGCCCGCAGCTCCAGTACCCACCAGTTACTTACCTGCCTGCAGTGGGGAGAGGGCATAGGCTTCCAGGACAGGAGCTGGAAGGGAGCGGGCATCCTTGGCCAAGGGAGAAACAGAGGCCCTGGGTTGGTCCAGACAGGGTTGGTCCCAGCAGGCAGCAGGGAATAGGAAAGACCACATTGGAACCCTGGCCCTGCCTCTTCTTAGCTGCACCATATGGACGGGAACTTTCAGGAGCCCCTCTTCCCGCTTCCAATGCCCGGGGGATGGTCCCCACCCCACTCCCCACCACGGTAACTGACAGTACATATCAGGTTCATCTCCTAAGGCTGTCTCTCCCTCCACCACCCCCTTTTTAAAAAGACCGAACTGGCTTTCCTGAGGGATGCATGAATGGGGCAGTGTCCTCTGTACTCCAAGAGAGGTGCTCCAAGAAGTTTCAAATCAATCATTTTTTAAAACTCGGATTTCAGGGGACTTGGTCTTGCAGGGCAAAGTCCTCCTTAGACATCTACTGCCATTACCTGCAGGGTAGAATGAGAAGGGGGGGGGGGGAGAGAAAAAGGAAATTATGTCAGAATCAAAATAAAAACGCAAGCCCAGCCAAGTAGAGGCGCAGCATTCACGCATTGGATTCACAGCTGTGCCACCGCCCAGCGGTCCTGGGGCGACTCCCACAGAGTCCAGCGGGCCCTCATCCGGGCCTTTCTCTGGAAGGCACCGTGCCTTTGCCGGACTATTTGCAGAACCAAACCTTCTCTCCTCCCATGGAATTCTCGCCACACTTTCAAGACTCACTTTACAGTTGTGGGTCTGTGAAACCGTTTATTCTTGTATTATTAGTTATTGTGTTATTTTCCATATGAACAACTGTAAACCTCCTTTTGCCCCACCCTGTGTGCACCCCATGATGTGATCCCTGCTGTAAGTCTAGTCACTGTACCAGTTCTTATGATATTCTGGACTGCATCCCCTGCCTTGCTCTTCTTTTTCTTTGCATCGCAGAGTGTGATTATGTAGGCTAGAGGTGGGACATGGTCTCCTTCTTGTCCCCTCTGGTGTCAACGTCCTCGGCCTGCAAAGGGTTTATTTTTCATTGAGATCCGATTACAGGCTTAGAGAAAGAATGTGGTGGGTAGAGATGAAAGGGCAGCTATGTTTTACCTCTTGGGCCTGTGACAATGGGTAGGAAGATCGCCACTTGGTAGCTTAACCAACATCTTCAACTCAAAGAGTCAAGGGAAGGGGGTGGGGGAGAAGCTCTCCTCGCTGAGCGAATACCGTGTCATATCCAGGGTGTGCTGAAAAGCTTCCACTGCCTATTTACTTTTTAAAACTGCAACAAGCAGAGCATGTTATAACATTTGGCATTGGAGTGCATAATCACATGGAGGCATTTCAGAATGATTTCATAGACTCTTAGAGCTTCAAGGGACCTATTTACAAAATGAGAAATGGTCTTAAATGGCATATAAGCTGTCTCTACTGCCCTACACCCCCCAAAACCCCAGTCCCACCCCAGAAGCTGCAAAGTCATAAAAAGGTCTTCAAGAGAGAACATAAAACACACAACAACTGGGACAGTCTTAGAGGTGATCTGACCAACCCTAGACACACCGAGGGACCGCCTTGGGTCCAAACAGTGACAGAGCTTAGAAACAGCTCCCCACCTCCTCTCCTCTTGCCAAGGCCAGCGTTCCCACTGGATGGATGCTCTTGAGTTGTTTTCCTGCTGGGGGAAGAGAGGTCTCGTAACACAGCATTCCCTGAGAATGACGAAATAGCCAGCACTGCTTGGTAACGAAGGGCCCTGAAGGCCACATGCCATTTCTCTTGGTGGAATCAACCCTTACTGTGGATTTGTTCTTCTGTTGTTGATTAAGTGTATTTAAGAATTTGGGGTACTGGTATTCTTGTAACGAGACCTGGGTTCAAATCCCTGCTCTGCCACTTAACAGCTGTGTGCTCTTGGACAAGCTAATGAGCTTCTGGGTCTGTGCTCTCAGCTGAAAATTGGGGAGACAGTAGCAGCATCTACTTCCCAAGAGGATTGTGGTTATTAAATGAGATGATGTATATAAAGGGGCTTAGCACATGAGCTGTTAAATAGAGGTAACTATTATTATTGTCACTGGTGGTGGTATATTTCCATGGATGTGTGAATGCTAAATGGAGTCTTTGGGTGAATGAAGGACACTTTTTTTTTTTTTTTTTATGTGTCCAGAACAACTATTTTCATTCGGCTGAACCAAAGCCCAGTGCTCTGCCTCAATGAGGCAGGACAAGGACCAATGATCTGACCTTCATTCGAGTCCAGCAGATACATGGAACAGAACTCCTTTCACTTTTTAGATAAGGACACTCTGAGGTCCAAAGGGGTCTTGCTCCTTATCTGAGGTCGCTGAGAACCTGTGCTGAAGCCCACTGGGCTTTGCAAGTATACAGGCCCCTCAGCTGCCAAGGAACTTGCAGGAATTCCGAAAGGACTAGGACAAAGAGATCTAAGAGCATGCTCCCTGTTGACTGAGAGTGTGCCAATGGACTGGCTCCAAAAGGTCCTATTTTTCACCCCTCAGCCCAATGTCAGGGGAGCATTCAGCGATGGTTCTTCTGAGCGCATTGCCAGCTGGGCGTCTCCCTCCACCCTGTCCACATCCTATCCCTCCTGGCTTTCCTCTCCTTCAGCTTTCTCCTCCCCTCTGTACTCAGCCCTTCCTGCTTTCACCTCTAGTTCCTGCGACGTGCAAAACTGCTGGCACGTCGCCTGGGTGAGCAGATCCAAGGTAAACACGGCTCTTTGAGAATTGTCCTTGGCTCCCTCCATCTTAAAAATATATTAAGCTGTCACTTAAAGACCTTAATAGCCATAGCATTGGAGACATGCCCATAGGTGTACGAGCAACTTGGCCCCAAAGAGAGCCTTAGTTTAAAAAAAAAAAAAAAAAAGAAAGAAAAGGAAAACAAGATAAATTATCTAAAAGACCTTCTTAAATAATGCTCCAAAACAGCTGCTGAACCTTTTACTTTGTCAATTGCAGGTGCTTGTCATATTGTGCAGATGTGTCTGAATATGTAGGGTTGGGGGCTGATGATTGCCTTTCTCCTATGCATCTGCCACCTATGGTGAAGGGAGGCAGGAAAAGGCTTAGTCACACAGCATCTCAGCTCCAAGGCCTTCTACCAGTAGGACAGTGGAAAGGTGACTTTTCTGTTCCCCTTGGAAGGTCCTATAGTTTAAATCTCTCTGCCGAAACTGGTTTGGCTCAGTGGATAGAGCATCAGTCTGCGGACTGGTGGGAGGGGGGGGGGGCGGCGGGGAGGGTCTCCGGTTCGATTCTGGTCAAGGGCATGTGCATTGGTTGCGGGCACATCTCCAGTGGGGGTGGGGGGGTGCAGGAGGCAGCTGATGATGTTTTTCTCTTATCGATGTTTTTGGCTCTCTGTCCCTCTCCCTTCCTCTCTGTAAAATAAATCAATAAAATATGTTTTAAAAATAAATAAATAAATAAATAAATAAATCTCTCCATATTAACTGACGAAAGGTGACAAGGGAGAAAAAGAATAGGTTGGATTCAGCAAAGGCTGGGGACCAGGAAGGAGGGACAGGCTCATGTGTCTTTCTTTTTCACCCCTACTCTACCACTTGTGCTGAGGATAAGGTGAGGAGCAGGTGAGGACTAGCGTCAACCTCAGAAGAGGCATTTGATTTGACTTTAAAAAGGGACTCATTCTTTCTTTCCAAGTTGCTTCCTCAAAATTGTGTGTGTGAGATAAAGTGAAAATCTGTCATGTTAAAAACTGACCTTGGGAGTTCTCATATCTCGAGTATTCGTCCAACATGGTTTAAATATTTATTATAAGGAAAGTTTTGGGGCAAGGGGATGAGTCATTATAATAACTATAGGCATGGATGCACTGGGTGGCGGTGGGCAGGCCTCTTTTCCATGAAGCGGCAGACCTTGGATGAGAACCTTCTAGTACGTTGACCTTTCCTGTCTATCAGGCTGTCTCCCAAATAACAAATGATTACAGAAAAGTAGGCCTAAAACTGTTTCCCTGAAAGCAGAATTGTGGGGCAGCTTTTCAGGACACCCAGAAGAAGAGATAGTTTCTTTTTAAGTGCCTTTGTCTGGAAATGTGTCCCCCAAAATCCCCCACCCCCCCAATCTCCTGCCTTTATTTGGCTGGAAGCTGCCATGATCTCACCAGATGCAGGGCCACCAGGCACTTCTACAGGAGCCCCTCAAGTTCATGCCATTTCCTTCCCTTCAGGTGGAACCATGGGGCACCCCGAACCCATCTCAGAGCTTCTCGTATATCAATGGCACAGATCTACAGAAGCTCAAGACATGCTTTCTATAAAGCTTTTATAGAAAGAGTTAAGCAAGAAGTTGGGGC